GAAACACAAGTCTGGAACATTTGAAAAGTTCGAAGCATTTCAAAGAGAAGTGGAGAATCATCGTAACAAGAAAATAAAGTTTCTATGATCTGATCGCAGAGGCGAATATTTGAGTTACGAGTTTGGCCTTCATTTAAAACAATGTGGAATAGTTTCACAACTCACGCCACCTGGAACACCACAGCATAATGGTGTGTCTGAACGTCGTAACCATACTTTATTAGATATGGTGCGATATATGATGTCTCTTACCAATTTACCACTATCGTTTTGGGGTTATGCATTAGAGACAATTGCATTCACGTTAAATAAGGCACCGTCTAAATCCATTGAGATGACACCGTATGAATTGTGGTTTGGCAATAAATGAAAGTTGTCGTTTCTTAAAGTTTGGGGTTGCGACACTTATGTCAAAAGGCTTCAGCTTGATAATAAGCTCAAACCCAAATCGGAGAAGTGCATCTTCATAGGATACCCTAAGGAAACAATTAGGTACACCTTCTACAACAAATCTGAAGGCAAGATCTTTGTTGCCAAGAATGTAACCTTTCTAGAGAAGGAGTTTCTCTCGAAAGAAGTGAGTGGGAGGAAAGTAGAACTTGATGAGGTAATTGTACCTTCTCTCAATTTGGAAAGTAGCTCATCAGAGAAATCTGTTCCCGTGATGACTACACCAACTAGAGAGGAAGCTAATGATGATGATCATGAAACTTCAGATCAAGTTACTACCAAACCTCGTAGGTCAAGCAGAACACGATCGACACTAGAGTGGTACGGTAATCCTATTCTGGAAGTCATGTTACTTGACCATGGCGAACCTAGCAACTATGAAGAAGCTATGATGAGCCTAGATTCCGATAAATGGCTTGAGGCCATGAAATCTGAGATAGGATCCATGTATGAGAACAAAGTGTGGACTTCCGTGGATTTTCCCAATGATCGGTGAGCCATAGAGAATAAATGGATCTTCAAGAAGAAGACTGACGCTGATGGTAATGTTACTGTCTATAAAGCTCGACTTGTCACAAAAGGTTTTCAAAAAGTTCAAGGAGTTGACTATGATGAGACTTTATCACCCATAACGATGCTCAAGTCCGTCTGAATCATGCTAGCAATTGCCGGATTTTATGATTATGAAATCTGGTAAATGGACGTCAAAACTGCATTCCTTAATGGATTTCTCTAATAAGAGTTGTATATGATGCAACCAGAAGGTTTTGTCGATCCTAAAGGTGCTAACAAGGTGTGCAAGATCCAGCGATCCATCTATGGACTGGTGCAAGCATCTTAGATTTGGAATATACGCTTTGATGAGGTGATAAAAGCATATGGTTTTATACAGACATACGGTGAAGCCTGTATTTACAAGAAAGTGAGTGGGAGCTCTGTAGCATTTCTGATATTATATATGGTTGACATATTGTTGATTGGAAATGATATAGAATTTATGGATAACATAAAAGGATATTTGAATAAGAATTTTTCAATGAAAGACCTTAGTGAAGCTGCTTACATATTGGGCATCAAGATCTATAGAGATAGATCAAGATGCTTGATAAGACTTTCAATGACTACATACCTTGACGAGATTTTAAAGGAGTTCAAAATGGATCCGTCAAAGAAGGAGTTCTTGCCTGTATTGTAAAGTGTGAAGTTGAGTAAAGACTCAAAACCCGACCACGGCAGAAGAGAAAGAGAGAATGAAATTCATTCCCTATGCCTCAGCCATAAGTTCTATAAAGTATGTCATGTTGTGTACCAAACCTGCTATGTACCTTGTCATGAGTTTAGAAAGGGGGTACAATAGTGATCCAGGAATAGATCACTAGACAACGGTCAAAATTATACTTAGTTACATTAAAAAGGACTAAGGAAATGTTTCTCGGTTATGGAGGTGATAAAGAGTTCGTCGTAAAGAGTTACATCGATGCAAAGCTTTGACACTGATCTAGATGACTCTAAGTTTCAATCTAGATACATATTGAATGTGGGAGCAATTAGCTAGATTATCTCCATGCAGAGCATTGTAGACATAGAAATTTGCAAAATACATACGGATCTGAATGTGGCAGACCCGTTGACTAAACTTCTCTCACAAGCAAATCATGATCACATCTTAGTAATCTTTAGGTGTTAATCACATAGCGATGTGAACTAGATTATTGAATCCAGTAAACCCTTTGGGTGTTGGTCACATGGCAATGTGAACTATGGGTGTTAATCACATAAAGATGTGATCTATTGGTGTTAAATCACATGGCGATGTGAACTAGATTATTGACTCTAGTGCAAGTGGGAGACTGAAGGAAATATGCCCTAGAGGCAATAATAAAGTTGTTATTTTATATTTCCTTATTTCATGATAAATGTTTATTATTCATGCTAGAATTGTATTAACTGGAAACTTGATACATGTGTGGATACATAGACAAAACACCGTGTCCCTAGTAAGCCTCTACTAGACTAGCTCGTTAATCAATGATGGTTAATTTTCCTAACCATAGACATGTGTTGTCATTTGATGAACGGGATCACATCATTAGGAGAATGATGTGATGGACAAGACCCATTCGTTAGCTTAGCATTATGATCGTTCAGTTTTATTGCTATTGCTTTCTTCATGTCAAATACATATTCCTCCGATTATGAGATTATGCAACTCGCAGATACCGGAGGAATGCCTTGTGTGCTATCAAACGTCACAACGTAACTGGGTGATTATAAAGATGATTTATAGGTATCTCCGAAGGTGTTTATTGGGTTGGCATAGATCGAGATTAGGATTTGTCACTCCGAGTATCAGAGAGGTATCTCTGGGCCCTCTCGGTAATACACATCATAAGAAGCCTTGCAAGCAAAGTGACTAATGAGTTAGTTGCAGGATGATGTATTACGAAACGAGTAAAGATACTTGCCGGTAATGAGATTGAACTAGGTATGAAGATACCGAGGATCGAATCTCGGGCAAGTAACATACCGATAAAGGGAAAACGTATGTTGTCATAACGGTTCGACCGATAAAGATCTTCATAGAATATGTGGGAGCCAATATGAGCATCCAGGTTTCGCTATTGGTTATTGACCGGAGAGGTGTCTCGGTCATGTCTACATAGTTCTCGAACCCGTAGGGTTCGCACGGTTAACGTTTGATGACGATATTGTATTATATGAGTTATGTGATTTGATGACCGAATGTTCTTCGGAGTCCCGGATGAGATCATGGACATGACGAGGAGTCTCGAAATAGTCAATAGGTAAAGATTGATATATAGGATGATGGTATTCAGACACCGGAAGTGTTTCGGGAAGCACCGGGTACTTATCGGGTTACCGGAAGGGGTTCCGGGCACCCCGACAAAAGATATGGGCCTTATGGGCCAGGAGGGGAAACACATAATCCACATAGGGGCTGGTGCGCCCCCTCCCCCCCCTATGGGCTGGCCAAATTGGAGAAGGAAAGGGGAATAGGATTCCCCCTTCCCCCTCTTCCCTTTCTACTCCGAATAGGAATAGGAGAGGGGGTTGGCCGAATTGGAAGAGGACCCCAAGTAGGATTCCTCCTACTTGGGCCGCCCCCTTGGCAGGCTCTCCTCCCCTCCAACTTATATATATGTGGGGAGGGGGCGCCTACAACATAGAACAACAACTGTTAGCCGTGTGCGGCGCCCCCCTCCATAGTTTACACCCCCGGTCATATCTTCGTAGTGCTTAGGCGAAGCCCTGCGCAGATTATTTCATCATCACCGTCACCACGCCATTGTGCTGACGAAACTCATCTACTTCCTCGACACCTTGCTGGATCAAGAGGCCGAGGAACGTCATCGAGTTGAACGTGTGTAGAACTTGGAGATGTTGTACGTTCAGTACTTGATCGGTCGGAGCTAGAAGAAGTTTGACTACATCAATCGCGTTGCTAAACACTTTTGCTTTCGGTCTACGAGGGTACGTAGACACACTCTCCCCCTCTCGTTGCTATGCATCTCCTAGATAGCTTTTGCGTGAGCGTAGGAAATTTTTTAAAATTGCATGCTACGTTCCTCAACACTTTTGACTTCTACTGCAGGACTAAAACTATTAGGCCATGATAAGTGACACACGTGTGGCACGAACACATGACAATTTCAAACATTTTTTATGCTAAGTTTAGTAACCTAATGCGAGGATGGTAACTTCAGTTGTGAAGCATGACAATTTCCTTTTCGGATTCATTCTTTTTTTGTTTGTTTTTCCTTTTCGGATTGCAACTTTAACTGCAAAAACGTTAGGTCCTGATTATTTTGTGCCATGCATGTGGAATTATCATTTGGGAAACTATTTTCACGCTTTCTGAGATTTAAGTTTGACCGTAAATTTAACCAACGAGACCGGCTGCGGCATAAATAAAAATTATACCACGGAATTATATCGAAAATAGGAATTTAGTGATATAATTTTTGCTCCCGCCGTACTCGGTCTCGTTGGTTAAATTTACGGTCAAATTTGAATCTCGAAAAACGCGGGCACACTACATTGTGGAATGGAGGAAGTAGCATCATGACAAATCCTTCGGGTCCATCTCATCCCTGTCGCAACACTCACAAACCCTGACAAAACGCGTCCTAGTAGCTTCTCAATGACAAAATGCAAACATTCTACCAATGCTCGAAAAGGACGGGGGGTGAGGGGACAGGAATCGCCGGTACACTCCACACCATCTTTCAGTAGGAGCTACGGCTAAGGAGGAGCATCAACATCGGCGACCAACCACCCAATCTCCTCTCTGAGGTGGTATGCACATCAACCTTTCAGGCACATTTCACCAATCCGCCATTATTTACACGCCCGACGTCTCATTCCGCACGAGACCATCACGGCATCCGGTTGATAGTACATCTCTGTCGCCCATTTCTCGTCCCGGTGTTTGCTTCTAAGCTCATCCTTGACGTACTGTGTTCTCGTCCTGGGAAGGGCGTCCGATCCGTGGGCAGCAGCCAGCAGCTACCTAGCAGGGTGCCATCGATATGGCCTCCAACTACAAGATGAAAGGGTTCTTCAAGGGCTTCAAGATCATCTCCCAGATCTTCGGTGAGCGCGTATAACTAACTAGGACTAGCTAGTGTGTGTGTTTCTGAATTTGATCATTCAGAACAGGGACAGACAGACGTGATCTGATTTTGTTCTTGCAGCGGCCAAGGAGCAGGAGATGGTGATCGGCCGGCCGACGGACGTGAAGCACGTCGCGCACATCGGCTGGAGCAGCTCCACGCCGGGGACGCTCACGGGGAATGCTTCTCCAAGCTGGGTAAACATTTCAGTGTGATAGTACACGCAAATTCTGGTTCCATCAGCTTGCCTGCCTGCCTGACCATTTTTTTTCTTCCTAGATGAATGTCATCGAGGGATCATCTGATTTCTCGTCTCTGGGCTACTTCGCGCCATCAGCGGGGACCTCCTGGACTTCTCAAGGTATGTTCAAACGTGCAACGCCACTGTTTTCGTATATGGAGTGAGAGCAGTTTCGTGTCTCCTGTCTCGGCACAATTCTCTATTTGGTCTGGCCGCTTCTTGTGATTGTGCCTTGTTTTGAAAAGATTATGATTCATCGTCTGAGACTCTGAGTGTACATGTGCAAACATGGCAACCTGCACTATTTTTATGCTGGGCACGAGGCCACGTTGAACAAATTTTATTGGCTTGATCTTGATCTGGTATCCCGAAGCTGCGCCCGGAGCACATGTTGGTAAACAATTCGCATGCTTGTGAGAGGACTCAACCACCACCAGTCCACCAGCATGTTTTGCAGACATCTTGATAAATTAAAAACCAGCATTTTATTGAAAATTATTAGTACCGATAAAACCAACGTTACATTTGTCCCTTTTTCAAACTTGAAGGCAAGAGTTTCCGGGTTAATCTGGAAAACCAGGCTAAAACTATAACAACAACCATCCACACCTACCGTCATAGAACATGACAACCCATGGGGAACCACCAGCTTGGCTTACAACAGAAACCTCACTCACACCTTCTAGGTGCACGCAAGCGTCACCTTCATCGCTCCTCCACAAACTAGTGGTTCCAGCTTCGTTTCAAATGGCCATCGACCATATGTGTGATAGTCCACTTAAGCGCTACCTTTGTCTTCACATTCCAGAATTAAGGGATCACTCAAATCATGCTCTAACTATAAAATTGTAGAATTGTTTGGTCAATCTACCGACAACAACATGCTAGGATACATATGTACAACTGCCTACAAAAGGCATACATTGTCTGCATTACATGTTTTTCGCATGTTTAGGACATGTTGGGTACATCCAGAGCTTCTTCAGTGATCAGACGTACACATTAGGAAAGGGTGTATTTTTTGGTCTCTCAACTATTAGCGAGATCAAAATTTGACCCCCTAACTCTAATACTAGAAATTCTTGGTCACAAAAATGTCAAACGCATCTAGGTTCGGTCCTTTGCCCAATCAAAAGGGTTTCAACAATGCCTAGCAGTGGCACATGATAGCTCAGTCAATACAAATTCTTTTTAACAAAAATAAGAAAGATAGGAACGACCGATGGAGGGGCATTAAATTAAAGATTTTACTTTTTATTTGAAAACTTGAAAAATTTAAATAAAAAGAAGAAAATATATATATATTAAAATTAGAAATTTAGAAGAAAAAATATGGATTTTCTTTAGGAAAGTAGATTTTGTTATCATCTACAAAAATTAAAAAAATAGGAAAAATAGTTTCAACTTTAGAATAAAAAATCAGGATACAAAAATGCCTTAAAATACGTGGAGCCTAAAAACACAAAATATAAAATTTAGAAAAAAAATTGAATCATATTGATCCATGGGTTGACAAAATCTTTTCCATTGTAATAGACTTTAAAAACCCTTACAATCTTTAGTTAATTAATCAAAATGCGTACATTTTTCCTTACTTTTGTTACATTTCATTTTTCCTATTATTTATGATTGATTTTTCAACCCTCTGTGGTAACTAGGTCACCACTAGTGGCGATTCTACCAGGGGCGCTTCGATAGGCTTAAGCCTACCCTCCAAAAATCATATTTTAGCTAAATATACCACTTGACAATTGTATTGAGGTGTTTTAGATGCAACAATTGTAATGCACTTGTTAATTAGATTTAAAAAATTGATGTTTTGAGCCTGCCCTCCATTGTCATGCTAGATTCGTCACCACTGCCACATGTATGAAACCACCGCATCATCAAAGATGGTTTTGGTGAAGTAAGGGACGAGATCTAGTTGTTTTGGCACTTGAGGGTCAAAAGTTCATGCTTTAAAATGGGTCTAAACTTAACATTTTGTAGAAATTGGAAAAAATGTATTGGATTTTTCAGTTATTTTCTTGTCACCGATGAGCATATAAAACAACTATGTGATTCTTGGGCAGACTTCGACCAGCAGCACCAACTCCCACGAGACATGTTGCCTCTCGGGATAGCTTCAGAGATCACCAGGGAAGACGTGGCAGCAGCTCCGTGCCCTGATGTTCCACGCCCGCCACCGAGAAAGACAAGGCGAAAGAAGAAAACAACGATTGGCTCTCTGGTGAATTCGTCAATGCCAAATGATTCATCTGCATCAGCCTCGACGGCAGCAACAACCGTCGTTGCCGATTCCATTGACACCAATGGCGTGATGTGGTGACAGGCAGGCTGCAAAGTGTGTTGTAAGTGTGGTTGTGCAGTTCTAAAAAACTTAGAATTGTAAATGTATTGATTTCATAGGTAGCTGAATACAATGGTTTGTTCTAAAAGCGTGCATTGCTTCTTTTTTTTCTTATGATTCATTAATCTTCGTGTTTTACTTTATTCTCATTCACGGTTTGTGATGCCCATGTTCTTGCCACGAGATGACAGTTTGACTCTACTGATTAACTAAATGATGAAGTACAATCAAACAAGTTGGGATAGCATGAATACCAAAATATCCTGATAAGATTTAAAGTTCCAACATGGTCTTTTGATGTCTCCATTTCTAATTGGATCTTTCTGCATCTCAATAATTCTCAAACTTCTGAAGGAACCCCACAGTGAACCAACAAAATAGGCCAGAAGTTAAAACACCGTGACCTAGTACACGTTTTTACAAGGATATATAATTTTATTTCTTTCACCGAAAACTATACAAAGAAAATGAAAGAACCAATGATCAAAGCAAACTCGACATCACAGTTGTCGCTGGCGTCACCAAGTCAAGCCGAAGCTTAGGCCTCAATCTGCACTATCGGAAGGCCGTTAACTCACATGGCCAAAATACAACAGTCTCATCTCCACTACAGCCATAACATGACGAGATAGAGTTGTGAGACTCTAATTTCCTATTATGTATCTCTACCGCTAAGGCATAGCCCCTAGCCCGCAAAAGGTATAAACCTCACAGAGATCCACACTTACCCGTCTTCTCCTAGTGTTGATAAATAGTTCGCCCAAGACTATTATGGCAGAAATCGCGTCCTTTGCCCCGCTCCAACTAGGTTTGTTGTTTGCCTCACTACTTGTTCTCTCTATGGAAGATTTAGAGAACACAACAGATGCATCTTTGAGCAATGTAAGCAATCAACATCTGAAATCCTGGCAATCATCAAGAACAAAGCTGCTCTTGGCGTGACGATGGTTAGTGTTGGTCTCGGTGCTTTGGATTAGGAGGAGATGATGTCGTACCTTATTCTCTCCTAGTAGTGTGGCTTTTCTAAACATCCTTGTATAGCTATATTTATAACTAAGTTCTTTTTCTGTGTTTTATGTAATTGGTGGATTGATTTCTTCTCAATTTTTCTTTGGCAAAATGAATGGCTCGATGAAGTTATCTCATGTTTTTAGAAAGGTGAGGTTATTGTAATATTTCTTTGCATTGCGAGGAAATAAAGAGCCAGACTAGCCCGACCCGTTTGATTGACCCTCTTATTGGTTTTTTGTTTTGAGGAGCCCCTCTTATTAGGTAGGGTGCTCCTATTCGGCGCTTTCTGCACCGCTTAGCGCTGCAAGTCACCTAGCGGGCGACCCAGCAACCTCCTCCAAAAAAAGTCGTGAAAATATATATTTGCTGGAGACGGGGGATTCGAAGCCGCGCGCCAATGACCACTGCACAAGGACCGGTTTGTTGCCTACAATCCAAAAAAGGCTATTTAATACTTCTTCTAATACAAGATTACATAAATTTTGTAGCCCACATAAATCAATTCAAAAAAGAAAACATAAATTTGAAAAAGCAAATCATAGGTGTGCAACAAAAGTTCATCAAATTCGAAAAGGTTCAATTTTTTTAAAAAAAAGTTCATTAAATTTTGAAAAAACACCAATTTGAAATAATCTCATTGAATTTGAAAAATAGAACATCAATTCTGAAAAATTCACAAATTTGAAAAAGTAATAATCAATTTTTGAAAAAAGTTCATCGAATTTGAAAATTTTAGTTGAATTTGAAAAAAAAAAGTTCATTAAATTTTAAAAAGTTCATCGAATTTATAAAAAATTCATTGAATTTGAATAGAGTTCATCAAAATTGAATTTTTTTTATCAAATTCGAAAAAAACTTCATCCATTTTGAAAAAAGTTCATCGAATTGAATAAAATATCATGCATTTTGAAAAATAAAAAAAGTTCATCTGTTTGAAGAAAGAGTTGTGAATTAGAAAAATAAAAAGGGACAGAGAAAAAAGAAAAAATAAGAAGGAAATGAAAGGAAAAAGGGGAGAAAGAAGAAAAGAGGAAAAACATTTATGTAATCACATCAAGGTGAGGTGCCCGGGTTTCTACAGGGAAGGTCATCTTTACTCATTGTTTTCACGAAGCAAATTTGGTTGCTCATGAGCTAGCAAAGTTTAGTTTTTGTAATAAATGTGAGGACAGTTGGACTAACAAACTTGCTAAGTACTTAATTAGCCAATTGATGAATGATGTAATTATTATTTGAGGTTAATAAAGCTAGCCATGATAGCCTTTTCCAAAAAAGGCCTGGATGGTTATCACGTCTTACAGGAAACTCACACATCGCAGGTTTGAATCACAGTTTGTGCGCTTTATTTCGCAGTTTAGAAAAACAGAGAGAAAAAAATGAAAACGGGCCGGCTCAGCTCACAGGAGGGGGTGTGCACTTCAGGCGTCTGTTTGTGAAATGGCTTATAACGGGCACCTGAAGCGCCAAAAAGGAATTGCAGGTAAGACCGTAAGAGAGAGTGAATCAAAAATGCATCCCGGAAATGGTCGGTCCAGCCCATTCTGGCAACCTAAATTTGGTACCGGCTGAGCCCAGCCCAACTTCAGCCGAAACCGGCCCGACGAACGGAACGCGACTCTCTTCACTTCTTCTGTCCGTCTCGCTCTCCGGCAAAGACGACGCAACCCGCCGCCACGCCGCCGGTGGCAAAATCATCCATACAGCGGCGGCCGGCTGCCGGCTTTTTCGCCCCGTCACCGGCGAAGTTGTACCACGTGACGATGTAAGTGGATTTCACTCGTAGCTCTCCCCATCCTCCCCATCTCGTTCTTCACCTCCCCCCACGAGACCTGCCGACCTGTAAATCAGCGACCAACTTGTTAAATTAACGAGAGAATCGATGTGATGGCACTAAACATTGCCTCGGAACCGAGAAATTTGGGATTGATTATCACAAGTTGCGCGTTCGAATTGGATAATGCCAAACCGATCCCAAACCCTCGGCGAATTTTCGCCGCTTGCGCCAGAGCAATAGCCTGGTAACAGGGGCTGCTCGTTTGCCAGTGTGGCGCCGGCGCTTGCCTCCAGCATTTTGGAAAGATCAAGTTGGGCAAGTGGCGATAAATCCAGATTTCTTTTTTGACGAAGCACCAGATTCCATGCAATGGTGGGTTGTTTTATATGTGTGCTTGGTCTGCAGTTCCAACCTGTTGTAAGTTCCTTGTCTCTTTCGGACCCGGTGATGCCTTGCCGTTGCCGATGCTTTGCTGCCTATGATGATGGTGGTGGTGATGCCGCCGCTGCGCGTTCGCTGGATCTGTCTTGTTTCTGGTTTGCCCTCTGGAGTATGATATGTTCCCCTGGAATATGGGTTAGGCCTCTTGCTAACTTGACCAACAGCATATGCGATTTAGGTGCACCTTTCGCCTTTGATGAATGCTGAGTAGGAGACTGACTTGGAGGGGTAAAAAAAGTTCTCAGCTCTGCCCTTCCATTAGGTCTTCTTTTATCCTCTTCCCCAATGTCAAATTACCATAAAATAGTACCACTAGCTTAGTGGTTAAAAAGATTGTGTTTCAGAAGTTGATATCTCATACAGAGCATTCTCCTCTGTGCTCCCCGAACCAAACCTTGACCGATAATAATGCAACACCAAAAGGCCTTTAAGAAATAATAATGCAACACCGAACTGCTGAATGTTCTTAGCTAGATGTTTTCAACCTTGAAATGCTTTCTGAACAACATCTGGAGTTTAAAGAAATATTTCCGTATGCTTTTGCCCATCTTGCTGACTTAACCAACAGCACATGGGTTTAGGTGCACCTTTTGCTTTTAATGAGTGGTGATTGGGGGCATTGTCAATAGGTCTTGTTTTATGCTCATGGTATCCCCAAATGTCAAATTACTGTAAATGGTACTCGCTTGGTTGTTACAAGGATTACTTCAGAAGTTGTTGGCTCATCCGGCTCTGCTCTGTGCTCCCCAGACCAACCTTGATTGATAACGATGCGGCACCGAACTGCCTAATGTTCTTACCTAGATGTTTTCAACCTTGAAAAACATTTTGAACAACATCTAGAGTTTTTATAAAAGACGTCCTTCCGTGTTTTGCCCATCTTGTCCATTTTACACTTGATATCTCCAAAAGTACCACCAGATTCAGATTGGTGCACTTTTTCTACACTTTCCAACCAATCCCTTTCATGGATGTCCTAGAAGTGGATCCAGTATCCTAAGAACTTTCCAACTAAATCTTATCTTACGATCTACATTCTACAATATCCAGGTTGTCATCGAAAAGTTCAGCATATATTAAAGATGAGTTAAGGATAACAGTCAGACCTGCAAGTAGGCTTTTTAAGACTTATCCGCTGTTTTCTATGGAAAGAGAATTTCCTGGCAGCGTTGAAGATTGTGTCATATGGAACAGAAAAATTGTAAGTTCACTAAATAACATAAATCTGACTTTTCCTGCCAGAATTTGATGAATGAGTATCACATACCTGCGACAATCCTGTCCTTTAAATTGCTAATCGTTTGTACTATTTTGGAGGAATCCGAGGAATGTGCTTATAGGTGTCTAGTATTGAAGGTCCACTGGATGCTAACTGCCTCCTTGTGATGGCACATGGAAATTTCTTACTTTGTTAGAGAAATGGATTGCTAGTTGCAACCTCCGTAAGACTGTATCATGTAAATATACTACTTACTGAACTTATTCATAGCAGACTAATAAAGAACTTGTTTTGATTTGGTAAGTTCTGATATTTTTAGGAAGTCAGAGATACCCCTTCTGCTTATTCTGATTAAATACGCAGGCGTCTGGTACTTTCTAGTGAGCAGTGATTAAAGAAAGATTAGCCTTTGTGTCAGAAGAGTATTACAGCGTACTTGTAGCTACCTACTGGTCACATCATTGACGTGTGCATATAGGCTTAACGGAATCTTTTGATCATGTGACTTACAAACTCAGATGGCAAACTGAGTGAGCCAGCTCATTAATGATTATATTGATGAAAGATTGAGAATTACATAGTACATATTTCACTTGATGCTAGTACTAACCTGATATCTTCTACTCCCTCCGTCCCAAAAATAAGTGTCTCTACTTTGTACTAGCTCTAGTATAAATTTGTACTAAGCTCAAAACATTTATTTTGGGACGGAGGGAGTACTAATTTCAAGGTAAATGCCTGCATATCGGCAAAATGTTCACGGCGTAAAAATCTGACCCAAGCTTTCTGCTGAGGTAAGATACGTTTTACATTCAAGTTTTCAACTTGAACGTCACTGATGAATCACACTGGGATTGTATCTCAACTTGACATTTAAAATGTTTCGGTACACTACAATGTACTGAAGCTATATACAAAGTTTTTCTCACTGTCATGCACTTGAATATTTCTTACTTCTTGTTTATTGTTCCTTGATACTCCCTCCGTTCCTAAATAATTGTCTTTCTAGCCATCTCAAATAGACTACAACATACGGATGTACGCAGACATGTTTTAGAGTGTAGATTCACTCATTTTGCTCCGTATGTAGTCACTTGTTGAAATCTCTAGAAAGACAATTATTTAGGAACGGAGGGAGTAGTTGAATGCCTGTTTTTATTAGTTAATGGCATGATTGGACAGCTCGACGGCATGATGGAAGTAGTGTTCACAGCTGACACAGTCCACAAGAGAGTGATGTACGAACTATATATATATATATATTGTATATAACTGAACCAGCGTTCTTACAGTACATGAACAGTAATCAACCTAGGTAATCTATCAACATGGAGAGAGGGACCAAGCAAAGCCCTTTCTTCCTCAGATCATTGAACTCATGCAGCTGCTTCTCGTTGCTATTTCCACCGCTGATCACTTCTTGAACCGCGCCAGTCGCCTGCTGCCTTGAACGTGCGTCGAGGAAATACTTGGCCTGCAATGTTTCAGGAACACACAATTGTAAGAAAAAGCTTATACTATACATCTAAACAACGTCCGAAGGAAGCTAGAAAGAGATGATAGCGATTGCTTCTCGAACATACCAGCTGGGTGGTGTTCATGTCCTTCGCATCCATGGTTAGAATTGACTTCATGAACATATCATGCATGCCGGTTACCTGTACAACAAAAATCATAATCATGTTAGAACCTAGAAGAAAGGCTAAATATGTACTGCTGTTCATCAAGCTATCTATGACTAACTAGAGAAAGTTAATTTTCTTCCTTTACTAACCTTAGGGCGAGCGGCGGAAGAACAGGCAGTGTCCTGCAGAGAATCATCCTCATCGTCTTCATCCATGAGGTCCGACGTGAGGAAGGAGTCGGTGTCGGAGCCGTCACCCAAGGAATCAAATGAGGAAGAGAAGCCAGAGGAGAAATCACTGTCAGAGGCTTCTCCTCCTTGGTGATACATCTCCTGTCTGTTGTCTGTTGATGCCACGAAGTTTGCAAAGTGCATCGCCCAGCTGCTCTCGCCGGCCGACATGGACGCCACCGCAGCCGGCTGGCTGATGCAAGAAGATTGTGGCGATGTTATCTTCTCCATGTGTATGAGAAACTGCAAGCAGAAGCAAGGCTAGCAGCAGTGATAAGCTTCGAGGCGGGTGTTGTGTTCTGGATGGAATGCTGGGTACGGCTCGTGCTGACCGTATATATAGCTCCAGGCTCCGGCTCCAGCGAGTGGATATGAATAGAAGTACATGAGCGTGAACTGTCTGTCAGACACTGGCGCCCGGTTTAAAAATTGGCAATGGAGGAATCTTATCGTTGTAATGGTCTCTTGATCGAGAATTATTCCGCGATCGATCATTGTGACCGATTGATCGATCGATCGATCGCCATCATGCATATTCTTTGGTGATTGGGACCCAAGCAGCAGCAGAAGAAGAAGCGGTTGGAATGCATAGCCGGCTGGTGATACATGGAGAGCTACACTCCACCTACTGTAAGCCTCTCTTGCCAATAACAATGTGGTACGCTGATAGCTATCCAGTTTTCTGCTCTTTTCTAACTGCGACTTTGTTTAACTAACATATGTTGGAGATTGCAGTATTGGTGCTACTAGTATTATCTCTCCATTTGTGCCACGTTTTCCCTTGGAATGGATTGATGGAGCTGCTGTACTGGTGGTAACTGCTTTGGATCCCGAGCTCAAGTGGTCTCCATATTTAAAAAAATGAAATCAAAAGTGCATGCACATGTTCTAAAAGAATTCCCCACATGTATATGTGGGAGTACACTATGAATCTATCAAGTTTTCTGGAAAGATACACATTCGTTTGTGAGTAGGAAAAGAAATGTGTGGTTCGACATTACCTCCCTGTCAGTTTATAAGGGACACTTGTATTTCTAGATTGTCAATATGATGAATGAATATGCATTGTACACTACAAAAAGTAATACTCCCTCCATTCCTAAATGCAAGTCCTTTTAGATATTTCAATATGAACTACATACGGGTGTATATAGATATACTTTATAGTGTAGGTTCACTTATTTTGCTCCGTATGTAGTCCGTACTGGAATCTCTAAACAGACTTATATTTAGAAACCTTTAATTACTGATCAAAAAAGTTTCTAATGGTATATATACTTCTGGTGGCATATAACCTATACTATTTCGTTGGTTAAATTAGTGATCTAGAAATGCTGGCATGCCTATAACAAACCAAAATTAAGAGAGGGAGTATCAAACAGGAACACTACTATTTGCTCTTATGGATAATGGCATTTCTCTTTTCTGTGCAGCCAGCCTATGTATACTTTTTTTTCATCAAATTTTTGGCAGATTCATGGATCTTTTGGCATTTTCTTAAAACCAGAACGTTCAAGTAATGATAGGCTCGTTGTGGCTCAGGAATAAAAAAGACCTGCGCTCCTGCACGAACCACTACTGAGCTTTCGCCGGGGATGGACTTTCGGAGCAGTAATGGCGAAAAGGTGCAGCGGGGGAGGAGATACGCTACAGTTCATCGCGATCATGTTGGCGCGAAAGTGTGCTGGCCATGGACCAATGGCCGCGGGCCACGTGACGGGATTCATGGAGTCGTCGTGGCCGTGGCAACTAATCGGATCCTGATGATCCCGTGGCGATCGCCATTACGCCGAGGATCCTGGTCGATCGGTCGCCGGCCAGGAGCGGAGCGGCCGTCCGCGTGCATGCCGACCGTATCCCGGGAAACCATAGTTTAGTTATCTCGTGGTGATTAACTCAAATGAGCCCGTGACGGCGTGCCTTTTTCAAATAATCGCCGTAGCTAGGCTCCCGCCTATGGGGGTGGCCAACCCCTATGTCAATTAGTAGTTCACATGCGTGCACCACAAGCTTGATGGGTTAGCTGCAACTGATTTGCACATGCCTTATTGTTCGTCCACAAGTAGACGTGTATACTTTTTGAATTAAATGCTTTGGGTTTACCTTGTTGCAGCATGCGCCATACCCTTAAGCAGCTTCACTTTTTTTAGCAAATAAACTTTTCACATGGAAGTTGAGGCAAATTCAAGCTTTCTAGATTTAACTCCCGTAATTCCAGTTTATCCAAGAATGCAGACTAACAATTGGAATTCTCCGATATTTACTAGATTTATTTACGAATGTGGACAATCTTCCTAGTTTCAAAGTTTTACTAGATACATTTAATAATGCAAATTAACTTCTGAAATTCCCTAATTTTTACTAGATTTATTTAAGAATGCGGACTACCTTCGTAGTTTCTGATTTTTACTAGATTTATTTAAGAATGCAGATTAACTCCCGGAATCCCCTAATATTTACTAGATTTATTTAAGAATGCGGACTACTTCCTGTAGTTTCAGTTTTTTACTATATTTATATAAGAATGGTGATTAACTTCTAGATTTCGCCCGATTTTTCCTAGTTACTCCGATCCAAATTAATTGTCGCAGCTTTAGTACAACTTTGTATTAAAGTCATATTAAACCTGCAACAAGTAATTTGGGTCGGAGAGATTAGATTTATTTAAGAATAAAGACTACCTCCTGTAGTTTCAGATTTTTATTAGTTTATTTAAGAATGCAGATAAACTCCCGGAATCCCCTAAGTTTTACTAGATTTATTTAAGAACGCAGACTACTTCCTGTAGTTTTAGTTTTTTATTATATTTATATAAGAATGGTGATTGGCTTCCAGATTTCGCCGATTTTTCCTAGTTCCTCCGATCCAAATTAATTGTCTTAGCTTTAGTACAACTTTGTATTAAAGTCATACTAAAGCTGCAACAAGTAATTTGGGTCGGAGAGATTAGATTTATTTAAGAATAAAAACTACCTCCTGTAGTTTCAGATTTTTATTAGATTTATTTAAGAATGCATATTAACTCTAGGAATTCCATGATTTTACTATATTTATTTGAAAATGCAGATTAATTCCCAGTACTCCCAGATGTTTACTAGATTTATTTAGTTGCCAAGACTACCTTCAATCGTAGTTTCAATTTTTTTACTAGATTTATTTAAGAATGCAGATTAACACCTGTAATTCCCTCCCCTAAATCAAACTCCTGTAGTTCCTTCCCCTAAATCAAATTCCTGGAATTCCCGAACTTTTACTACTAAATCAGCGATAATTAATATGGATTGGATGGAGTATATCTTTGTAAGTGCAGAATAACTCCTGGAGTTCCCCGATTTTTAGTAGATTTACTTAAAAGATGCAGACGTCCTCCCGTAGTTTCATATTTTTACTAGATTTATTTAAGAATGCGATTTAAATCATGAAATTCCTCAATTTGTACAAGATTTATTTAAGAATGCAAACTACCTACCATAGTTCCAAATTGTTACTAGATTTATTTAAGAATACAGATTAACTGCTGGAATTCCCCGACCTTTACTATATTTATTGAAGAATGCATATTAACTCCCATAGTTTAAGATTTTTACTAGATTTATTTAAGAATGCGGATTAGTTCCTGAAATTTCTCAAATTTTACTAGATTTATTCAAGAATGCAGACTACCTCCTTAGTTTTAGAGTTTTACTAGATTTATTTAGGAATGCAGATTAACTCTCAGAATTCCCCTTATTTTACTATTTTATTTAGGAATGTAGGTTGAGTAACAAAATTCTTCGATACTTATGAGATTTATTTAAGAATGCAGACTATCTTCCGTAAGAATGAAGATTAACTCATAAAATTGCATGATCTTTACTAAATTTATTTATTTAAGAACAGTACCTCACGTAGTTGTAAGGCTTTACTAGAGTTATATAAAAATGCGGATGAACTTCCAGAATTCACTGAATTTTACTATATTTGCTTAATAATAGAATCTACCTTCAGTAGTTTCAGTTTTTACTAGATTTATTTTAAATTGCAAATTAACTCCTGAAATTCAATGATTTTTACTATATTTATTTAAGAATGCAGGTTAATTTTGGAATACCCTGATTTTTACTAGAATTGTTTAAGAATGCAACCACCTTTCTTTGTCATTTTAGATTTTTACTAAATTTATTTAAGAATGCAAACTACATTTCTTCGTCGTTTTAGATTTTTACTACATTTATTTAAGAATGTAGTTAACTCCTAGAATTCTCTGATTTTTGCTACATGTATTTGAGAATGCAGACTACCTCCATAGTTCCAGATTTGTAATATATTTATTTAAGAATGCAGATTAACATCGGATTTCCCTAAATTTTACTATATTTATTTAAGAATGCAGATTAACGCCCGGAATTCCCTATGTTTTACTAGATTTATTTAATAATGCAAACTAAATCCTGGAATTCCAAACTTTTGCTAGATTTATTTAAGAATGTAGACTAATCCCAATCTTACACTTTAGAAAGGAAAAGGTTGATTGATGTGGTATGTAACTACGCGAGTTGTTCGGCGGGAGCATCAAATTCAGAAATTGATGGTAAAGCATGGACAAGATTATGGAAGCACAAATTACCAGGGTAAGTTAAGGTGTTTGCACGGAGATTAGCTAGAGAGAGCCTTCTATCTTCGAATGTTGCATATCATAGAAACATGGCATGCGATAGTACATGTGACATTTGTGGATGGTTTGAGCACTCATTACTTGATTGCATAATGGTAAGGAGTGCTTGGGTTCTTGTGGATGAGGATGCACATGAACAAATTATGGGTTGTGGAGAGCCAAGGGCGAAACAATGACTTTTAGAGATGGATGAAGTTCTATCAGAAGTAATTATGCAAAGATGGTCATTACTTTATGGGCCATTGTAAGGCAAGAAGGGATGTAATACACGAAAATGTCATTTAGAGTCTGTTCGAGACTTACTGCTTTGTAGAGAGGTTCTTACATGAGCTGGAGTTACTTGACGAACCGAGGAAAGGAGAGGAATTGTTCCCCGTGAACGCCAAAAGGGCTGGCTGGCTCTGCCTCAAAGTTAAATAAAAGGTAATGTGGACGGTGAAGTTTCACAATTGGAAGGAAAGGTCCTCGTTGTTTATCTGTGGTACGAATCACAAAATAAGGATCAAAAGGGCTAGCGCAATGCTGATCAAGGAAGTTACGAAGCTAGAAATGTCTTCTCCGTTATGAGTGGCGGAGG